CAAAGGACAGTCAAATATACTTAGCTGTTTCTAATAGTTTTTCTGAGGAGGTCTTAAAGACCTGAGCAGTTGCAGATCTCTTCCCTTTCCCCAACCAGCCCATCCCAGGGCTTTGCTATCCTTAGATATCCAATAGAAAGATTGCCCTCACTTTTAATCTAAATCTGTCTCACTGCAGTTTAAGCACATTTCTATTCTAGGAGAGTAAAATATGATTTCTCTTCTTTAGGTGCTTGAAGATGATTGTCTTTCTCCAGTCCCTTTCTTAGTCAACCACCCCAATTTTTTAAAATTCTAGTATGGCTTAGGTTGGCAGGGACCATGAGAGGTCTCCAAAGTGGGAACAGCACTCACTTCAGATTGGGTTGCTCAGGGCTTTGTTCAGTCAAATCTTGAACAAAACTCTCCACGGAACACCTCCTCTCTGGGCAACCTGCCCCAATGCTTTATTCTCATAGGGTTTGGGTTTTTTCCTCCTCTCTTTATATACTGAGTCAGAACCTTCTCAGGTTCAATTTATGACCACTGGCTCTTGTTTTCCCTCTGTGAACCTCCATAAAAAGCCTGGCCGTCTGTCCATGCTGAAGACAAGAACCTAGTTCAAGCTGGATCTTCCCTGCAGACTCTGGAATCTAAATGAACCTAAGAAGACTGTGAGAGCTTTAGGATTCTGAGGGGTCAGGCAGCGAACTGAACCTCTCTTTTTAAAAACAGATAACTGAGCCATGATTAACATAAACACAAACCCTCTGTCACCTGGCTGGCAACCGGAAAATGCGACGCAGCACTTAACTCTCTTAACCACATCAGTCATGAGTCTCCTGGCAGTGTTGACTTAGTAAGTCCCTGTGACCCGCTGAACTTCTGCAGCTGACACAAACCATTGCAACACGCTCTGTCACGTGTCAACCACGTTTCTGAGCTGCAGGAAAGACTCAAGAGCAGTTATCTGAACTGTCACCCAAATATTCAGGAGGAACATAAAAAATTGTTTGCCGAAGATAAACATTATATGTCTACGTTGTGCTAAGACAACCTGTTTTGCCACAGAGGCTATGAACACATGCGATTTAAACATCAGAGCCCAATGTTTATCTTCTCCCCAAAGATTTTACAGTCTATGTATACAGTAGGAAGCAAGGGATGGGCCCAGGCAGACAGGCAGTATAAGTAGGTAGATAGGATTGAATGAGCTGGGGTTCTCTGTATTTTCACCTCCTTCCAAGTTTGTCCACATTGTGGAAAAAAAAAAGAGCTCCCTTGAGTACAGATCTGAAGGAAGACAACTAAGTGGCTTTGGAGGATATCTTACAGCAAGGGAACAGCCTGGGAAAGGCAGGAGGTGCTTACTTGAGGATGCAGCAAGAGAATGATGAAGGCTGTCACTGAGGGCTGATCAAAGGTAAAAGCTGACTCCCAGACATGCACCATGGCTGCTGAGGGGCTTGGAAGTGACAACGAGCTGCCTGCACAGCCTTAGATGCCTGTGGTTAAGGTGAGAGAGAAGAGGGTGGCAGGGAAGGACGCAAGCCCTAGAATGAGATGGGGAGAGTGGCAGTTGGGGAAACACTGGTGCAGAAATGATGGGGCAGGACTGCGCCTGTCAGGGCCAGAGAAAGCCAGCTGCGTGATGATGAGTTCCCAAAGAAGGCTTAGCTGTGCAGCTAGGTGTGAAAGGCTGTATCCGAGAGATGTCATGCACAGAGAGCCTATGATCCGGAACGACAGTATGCATGTGGGGGCTCAGAAGGCAACAGACTGGTTTTGCAAGGCA